ATATCAGCCAGTTGGGACAACCTTATGCCCCTGGATGGTTCAACACATATCCTCAATATCGAGAGAAGCCATCAAGTGCCATCCAATTTTCTGGAAGCAGTTCTGGTGGGCAGAGTAGCAGTCATAATTGCCAGTGGGTTGCGAATATGATAGGGCAGAGGTCCCCTCGAACTACATTCAGGGAATTAGGAACATGCAATACCTGCCAGAGTGCCGCACAGCAATGTAAAGAACCAGCTCATCTCTGGTCATCTGTAATGCCAAATCAGATGCCCTTTGCGTATGGTATGACTCACAATGGAGTGGAACAGCCTACCAAGATGAATTTGCTTTCATGTCATCCTAGCAATCTGCTCAAGGGGAATATTAATGGGAATCATGATTCGGACTTTCTTAATCTAAATATCAGCAATCATGACAAGCAAAATCAGAAGTTCAATTCAGAAACTCTCTGCAGAACACATCCAGATTACTCATACACAAGTAAACATAACGGGGTTGGATCATTAGACCTTTATTCCAATGAAACCATACCAGCAATGCATTTGCTCAGCCTCATGGATGCAGGACTTCAATCAGGCAGACAAATTGATCTCAATGGAAGCCCAAAGTTTGTTAAGAGGCCTTCCTTTCCTCATGATCGCCGTCCTGTGGAGTTTTCAGGTCTGCCATCTGGGGGTTGTAAGGCTTCCAATATTATGAAATACCCTTCATTTAATTCTCATAGTAAAAGTCCATTATCAGAGAATTCCCGTGAAAAGTTTTCTGCCGTTCCTATTGTTGGTGCTTCTGCATTTTCATTTCAACCTGACAAAAGTTTCAAGAAGGCATCTGATTGTACAGCTCAAGTTCCCTCGAAGTTTCGGGATAAAGAGAAGATAAAAGAATCTGGTTTTTTAAGTGGCAATTTACACACAGATGTTGGATCTGTTCCTGTTCCAAGCATGCCAAAATTCTCTATGGGCATTTCAGATTCTGCAGTACTTCCCTTAAAATTCTATGCAATGAAGACTGTGACAAGAGATAAGTCGGGGCTGCAGAATAATCATGGTAGTGGCACTGTTTGGCCTCTGAAAAACAATCCTGAGCTTGAAGTGTGCAGTATCAACAGAAACCCTGCTGATTTCACCATTCCAGAAGCAGGAAATGTCTACATGATAAAGGGTCAAGACCTAAAATTGAGAAAGCAACCTGGTTCTGGAAGTAGGTCTGGCTTTTCTAAAGCAGAGGGGACAAAGCGACGAAAGAAACATATGCCAACAAAGGAACATCCATGACATGGACTTTCATCAGAGTGATACTTAGGCCAGTAACCCTAGAGATGCTCCTGAGTATGTTGGTTGCTTGACATTCACCTCTTCATTGAACAGTTATCTCATGGCTTGTTATAACTAGCTGATTGTAATTTATTTGTTGATTTGAAACAGGTATTATGGAAGAAATCTTGCTACAGAAAAGAGATCGGTGATAAATAATTGTCATGTTCTGGAGACAAGTTTGATCTTTGATGGGGGAACTCTTTTCAGGTGACCTTGGATTTAGTTTTTGCTTTTTTGATGTCCAGAGTGGAGCTGTGAAAGACATAAAGGGGTTTTGGTGGAGCTGTAGATAGTTACATGCCTTGACCTTCCATAGAAACAAGTAGATATATGTATTTAATTTAATGTTGTGTGTTGTAAGGGTTATTCTAAAAGCCCTAAGTTTGCTTATGAGTTCTAGGGTGGGATTTTTTGATCCTTCATATGAAGGCTCCATGCCTGACCAGGATGTTGGGTGGGAACCCAAAAAAAAAAAAAAAATACAGTAGCTAATATAAAGTATGGATGTCGAGCCATCTATGAATAATATTGTGATTGTAATTTACAGCATAAAGGTATAAATAAAATAGGTGATGTGATTTATTGAATATGGTTGGAATATTAGCCTGCAACTCCAACTTATGAAACCTGAATATTCTTGATTTCAAGTGTTCTTTTATTTGATTTAGTTTATCATTGGGAAAATTGAACAAATTTGGAGGAACATATTTAAAAATTCACTTTTTTAACCAGAAGATGATAAAAATTTCTCTTGAAATTATAAAAATTGATCTTTTTAACCTTTTGGCTCAATAGTATCTTCTGTCCCAGTATGATAAGCGAGGCTCTATTTTCATCATCAATTCCTGTAAATTCAAAGGGCATAGTAGCCTCTAGAAAATATATACATATATATATATATATATATATTATCACCCAATCTGCTGAAGATATTAAGGGTTAAGGGTATTTTTGCATGAGGAGCTTCCGGAGAAGACTTGGTAAATGGAGAAGTATACGAATTTCAGCAAATGGAAATCATGATGGTGGCTCAAGCAGCTTTTGGTTCGAACAAAACAGAGAGTAACAAATAAGAAAGCTAGTCAACTTTGTTATTTTATGAGTTGATGCATTAAAATTGGATATTTTTTCAA